ATCTCTGTTTTATCTGTAATTTCATCCTACAGATAATCTGCACATGTTAAAGAGCTCCGTTTTTTTTTTTCTTCACCTCCACTCCTTGATGGAAGTCCACTCGTTGTTGACTTTGTCAGTGCTACAGAATTCCAAGGTCTTTTAATCTAATATCATTATAAATGGCTCACAGATGGATCTGGTTTCCACAAGCAGCTCAGCGTTCCTGTTACACCCGTTACCGGCATGCAGTTACTTTTAATGGTTTGCTTTTGTTCAAGTGAGGTCCTGAAAGTGTTAATAGCGGTTTCTCCTGAGAAAATCAACAGCTGCTGAGGTGAGTCCTCCTGTGTTTCTCAATATTTACAACACTGTATATTGCTCTTTACTGGCTCGAACCAAGCCTTGTGGTGGAGAATGACCCATTGCAGTCTTTGATCAATGCTAGGTAGCGAGTAGAGTCAATCCCCGCAAATTCCAAATTCATTGTTACTGAGGTCAGATATCAGATAGATGTGGTGCCTCAAACATGGCGACACACTAAAGCAGTATAATTAATCAATAGTTGAGGGAATGTGTTTTGTTTAAAGTGCAGGACTGTACTGTTTGATCATGCAGACCAGGCACTTTTTTTTCCCCTTTTTTCCTCCGTGCTCATCTTTACTCTTAATATATGCTTGCATGTGTCCTTCTGCCCCTCACTCTTTTGCAAATCTGATTTCATTACAGCTGTAGTCACACTCTCGACTGAGACTTGGAATTTATTAAGAGGACACATCGGCACTCTGCTCTCCATCAGCTTTATAAATGATACAGCACAAATGCTCAATTAGTGCAAAGTATATTCAAAGGCGCTTCACATTATCTTTTGTTAGTGTCCCTTTAAGGTTTTTTTTTTTTTTTTTAAATGATACCGCTATCGAAAACGTTGATGTCATGCACATGACTATTACATGTTCAGTCTATAGGTATGTGCACGGATGCGTAGTGTTTCTTTTACCAGCCCTTGTGTGGAGACCTGACTCATGAAGGAAGCAAGTGCAGATAAGGCTTTTTATTTTATTTTTATTTGTTATGAATGTTCTCTGCCCTCCACCCACATTTGCGTACAGTGGTTTATCTCCATAGTCCCAAATCTGAAGCCGCTGTCTGCTCATCTTTGGCTTGATTGAGACCTTGATTCTACTAGAGGACATGACTTCACTTTCTTCCACACCACATGCCAAACAAGCATGTTTGTTTTCTCTATCGTGAGCCATAAATTTCTATTTAAACAACTTTTGAATTTGCATGCATATAAGATCCATGGTAACCTCACATGGACCATTATCCGAGTTGGATGCATTATCCTTTACATTGATGATGTGAGGATTATTCAAGTAAATACTGAAGTACTCCAAGCATCTATGTTGTGAACTTTACATATTTCACATACTTTTGAAAACCAGCCTTTAGTTGATCCTAAGTGCTCATTGTCACAGCTGTAAACATGACCGCTTTCTTCCATGAGGTAGTTTGGTGTCATGGCATATTTGTTTCCAGGGGGAATGTTAAAGAACGTGGCGTGTCTCCCAGAAATCCTATATAAATCAGCCAATCAGATGACGACTTGGAAACTCCTGTAATGTTTCCAGTTTT